AGTTATTACTATTCTTTCTTGTATGTTAAAAAATTATATTTATGTTACGGCCAAAATGTTCTTCAGGTATGTTCTGATCTCGTAATTACTTCCACGATATTTTTAAACAGAAATTTAGGCGTTTATTCGCTCCTAAGGAACAGAAAAATTAAACGACTTTTGTTTCCTGCTAGTACATCTCAACTAGAATTATTTCTCTAATAAAGTCTTTACATTTCGGCAATAGCAATAGAAGATAAACGACGAGAACTAGATACTCACGCTTCCATAAGAAACATATTCCAGAAATGTAATTAAGCTTGTAGAAAATATTACAGCGTGGATGAATACGTCATACCGAATGAAAAACTACTACCATTTCGTGAAACATCATGCCAAATAAATAGGGGATAAAAAATTATCTACAGTGAATGTAAAAGAATTTTTATGTAATATTTAGAAATTTAGGTTAGAAGTAACCTGCAGAACAGCAGCAAATGGTATCATAGGAATAGATAAACGAGAAAACACTTTTTTTGTCGAAAGTCCTGCAGTAACTATAAAACTAGCGGCGCTAATTAAAATATCTTTATCCGTATCCAACATCGAGAACAAATGGATGGATCCTCGACGATCGCGAATGTTCTCGCTCTAATTTAAACGCACCTTAACAGTACACTTAGTCACAAAAGTCTTCGTACATGTGAAAAAACAACAAAATAACCGATTATTTATAAATTTTGCTACATTTCGTTATCGAAATGTATATATATTTATATATAAAATATATATAAAACAGTTAATAACGCTTTATGGATAAAATAAAGTACAGGGTCCGGCAGTGACAAGGAAAGATTTAAAGTAGGGTTTGCAGCGCGCCGCGAAGTGATGGGGAAGAAAGTAGCCAACTTGCCAAGACCTGCATAATTTGCTATTTAGTTTACAATGGAGCGTTGGACGGGTGAGCATCGCGGTTACGCAGTTAAAGCCTATTTTCAAAACGGTGAGATTTCGGCAAATGGGCAAATCATCGGTCCATATTTTTTTGAAAATGAGGTTGAAATGCCGTTACCGTTAATTCTGTACGATACGTTGCAATGATTTCGAATTATCTCACACCACAACTTGAAGGCCTTCCAGGGAATGAAGACACACTTTTTCAACAAGACGGGGCAACAAGTCACACTACAAGAATTTCAATGAATGCTGTAATTGCTTTGAAACGGGGATATCAGTTGGCCCCCTCGGTCTCCCGACCTAACCCCCTGCGACTTCTTTCTTGCAGAGCTTCTTTATGCAAAACTTTCAGACACGATTCTAAGAATGCATAAATTGTAACGGAGGACATTTGGCGGATGTAGTATTCAAAAAATATTTTTTTTGACTTTGTAAACTAAATGGCAAATCATGCAGGTCTTGGCAAGTCGGCTACTTTCTTCCCTATCACTTCGCGGCGCGCTAAAAAGCCTACCTTAAATCTTTCACTGCCGAACCTGTATATTCTATTTACATAAATAAATAAGTTAAAAAAATATCGTTTTTTGATGTCATGAAAATGTTCACACACTGATGCGACACTGATCTTACTTCATTATGATGATTTGCCGATTGTTAATTTTCGGTTCACTTCGTTTAACTTTGGTATATCGTAAACTTTGACTTGTTAAGACATGTTCAGTGCAACAATTGCATCACATCACATCCATAGAACATTTATGGGACGAAATTGAAAGAAGAGTGAGAAAAAATAGGATAATGGGCAAAGCCTCCCTTAAAGAAGCGATTTTGAAAGAATGGGAGAATATTACGCCCGATGTTACTAGAAACTTAGTATCGTCGATGCAAAATCGTTTAAAAACTGTTTTAGAGCAGAAAGGTGGACCGACACGATACTAGTTATTTATTTAATAGGATTTTTCTTCAGTTATTTTGTTAATAATTTGTTGTACGAACGTTTTCGGGTAAGCAGAAAAAGTTATTTATCTTTTTAATTCTTACTAGAAGCATATACTTTAATTTTAAATCATTATTAATCGTTGAAAACATGTAAAATGTTTCATAACGGTTATAAATAAACAATTATTTTGTTCATAAATACGAATTTCTAGCCTGTACGAAAACTTTCGTGACTAAGTGTACACGTCATGCAGCAAACCTCAGCTCAAAGTGGGTGCAAGTACAGCGAAAACCGCCAACGAAAATCCAATATAACGAACAAATTGGTAACGATATTAGACAATATTTTTGTAGTCAAAAAATTACAGATCCACCGTGTGACAAAGAATAATATCCATCGTTCAAACATAAGTCAAAATTTGTGAAATTATGAACTATTACAGAAGTTTACAAATTCCGATAAACTTTCGGACCGTGTGACAAAGAATAATATCCATCGTTCAAACGTAAGTCAAAATTTGTGAAATTATGAACTATTACATAAGTTTACAAATTCCGATAAACTTTCGGACCCAACCAGATGAGAACCATTCTCAACGTAATTCGATATGCTCAATCCGAATCTTCAATCCGTTTGTCAAGATTGGTCTTGAATTTTCAGTATTTTAAATAGTTTTAAACCGACATTTCGCCAAAAAGTAAAGATAAATTTTGAAAAAAGTTCATCACTTTAATTGTATTCAAAACGTTGTGATTGTGTTTAGAAATTCGTAAAAATGCAGAAACAGCTTTGCAAAGTGGATTCAAAATGTTTTTGTACGGTTTGCGGAAGATAATAACAGTACACGCGTATTTGCATTACTTTGGGTTTTCTATATCAGACATTGAGAAGCCGTGGATGCCTAAGTTGTTTTGTAATGCGTGCAGAACAAAGCTCTACAAGTCACTTGCTGAAAAAGTGTACTTTTCATTTTCATTGCCAATTCTATTGAGAGAACCAAAAAATCATGTAGATATATGAACGTCGTCGGTATAATATAAGAAAACTAGTACAATACAAATATCATGATGTATATCACGAGTAGTGACCCATTACCAGTGTGTCCAGGTGTAAGTGAAAAGGCCCAGCAAAATATCTCCATCAACCAGTGACAGTAGTGATTTGATCATGGAAGGAAACCATTTAATAACGCAAAATGAACCGCGTGATCAATTCCGTGATTCGAAACAAACGGCAGAGCATGTATCACAGTTGTAGGAATGGAAATATCTTGTCAGTGGAACACGAGTCATTGTATACAGGAAAAGAAATGAAACGCTTCAACAATTCTTCAAGAAAGAACGAAACGTGTGTTTCTGCAATGGCATCAACGGTATTTGATGCTATGAATACATCGTACGATCGAAAAGAATGACGTTTGTTTAACGATGATTCAAAATATATACAGGGGTGCCCATTATGTATGGAATATAGTATATATCTTGGTAACTATCAACTTTATAAAAAAACATTTTATACAAAAGTTGTTTAATATTTTATTTAACATAATAATTCAATTCAGCATTCAATTGTTTTTATTTCAGAAAACAAATGAGCAATAAATAGCACTTGAAGTTTTTTAAATGGCAATGTACCCTTTCGTTGGGCTCATTTGATAAAGTTTTTTTTTTCTTTACGATAACGTAAAATTTTTGTACCCTTACATCAGAAAATTTTTGAAAAAAATATAAAAATTGTTTATTAATAAAAATTAATCAATAACATTAATTTAGATTACTGGTATTAGTTAAAACAATTTTCACATTTTTTCAATAAATTTTTCCATACTGAATTGAAAATTGGTTATCCTACTTAAACTGTTGTTTTATCTTTAGGGGTTTTTATTGCCCAAGTCAACAGCTTTGTTCGCAGAAACGTATATGGCTGGTTGGAAATTGTTGGAAATTGTAGTTACGTAAGCTGACATTATCATAAATATTAGAAGAATTATAATCGAAATCCATCTACCAGTATTTGCAAAAGGAAAAAAAAATATTTTTTATACTTTTAATCTTATAACAATTTATAAGTCTTACTAGTTTCGGTTATGTGCCATCTTCAGAGACTATGCCAAAAATATCGTGAAAACGATTAAGATATCAAATTTGTTGCATGAATAATTTTTACATAGTTACAAAAAGTTAAAGTTATAAAATTGAATCAAATAAATAAAATAAGTACAGAACACGTTTACATGTTAAAAGTATAGAATATTCTATACCTGGGAATGATCATGTATTTTTTTTATTATAATCTCGGCTTCTGGTTTACTAGAATTAACTTATCATCAAACTTATCTTACTGCCAAACTATAACAACTAGTTTTTGAAATGTTAAAGATTAGACTTCTAATTAAAATACGTGTACCGTTCACCGCCATTTTTAAATATTATTAATATTTTTCCTATTTTATCATCTCACTATGAGAGGTAAGATAAATTTCATATGTAAATGTCAACAACAACTTTTCAAAAAGGGAATATCCGGTCTATTTAAGTTACCTATCATTTTTCTGTATAATTAGGGAGCAGTTGTATTTTTATTACTTTATTTAAGAACTTCTTTAAAAAAACAACTAAGTATCTGGGTCTAAACTGAAAATTATTATAACAGAAATTCATATTTTGTTAGTGAATAAAATCGCCAATATTGAGCTGTGATATTTCAATTTCGATGATACATCGATTTGGTTACAAAACTAATAATTTCCTATACATTTAAAAATGATTTCTTAGTCTACACGCTCGATAATGACTCTTCCATCTTTGTTTAGGGCTTGGGTTTACAGTTAATCCTGTTATTGCTGAAAACCACACAGTTTTATCAAACACAAATAAGTTATTACCAAGAAATCTGACAGAATAAATCATATTTGTATTGGTAACTTATTTAAAAAAGAAAAAATCGTTTACTGTTTAATAAACGGGAAAGAAATCGAATCAGAATTTACCAGGAAATTAGTTGCACTGGTTAGCAGATACAATATAGTACAGTGTCATAATCACTTTTGCAATATTATTTATTACAACTATGTATTTAAATAAAATCAATCAACTTATTTAGGCAATAAAAAAAGTTTACTTACTTATTAGAATTTGAAAACTTCAACTTAAAATTCTTATTAATATTCCCTTCTTCACGCAACTTGGAAAATATTTCATCATAATCTTTCTGCCGTTTCCGCGATGGTTCTTCAACGGGGCTATTAGTCCTTTTCCTTTGATTCGAAACCTCTTTCCTCTCATCTTCAAATTTCCTTATTTTCGCCGAATCACTCCGTTCCATCGAAGGACTTTTCCTCTTCGAAGGTCTTTCCTGCACTTTACTCCCACCACTCTGTCTAGATAATTGATAATACCTTTCATGCGTATTGTTCATTTGATTTCTTAACGATTTTTCATATGATCGCCTCTTAATTTCATCATACTTATTTCGCGAAAACATCGCGCTATCTAATTGAGAATATTGATGAGTTTCCATACTATTTCTTTCGGATCTCGATTGAGGTATTCTATTGTAACTCGTATTATTGCGTTGATCATTTTGTTTTAGATAATCATTTCCGGGGACGCGTTCAGATCTCGATTGATGAATTCTATTTAAATTGTTTTTATGATCCCAATACATTTTCTCGTTAGATTGAGGATTTCTTGGATTCGTTTTTGATGATGAATCTGGATTACCAGGACGTTCTGGTCGATTATAAGATGGTTTTCTTTGCTCATTTCGTGATGGTGGTCGATCATATTTCCAAAAATCTTGTTGCCTTTGGTAATAGGGTTGTTGTTGGTAATTGCTTGATGTCGAGGGATAATAATTTTTATTGGAGTTGTAATTTGATTTGTCGATTGGTTTAAGATTATCTTCTTTACGAAGGTATGTTGATGATGATCGTATGTTACTTCTACTTTCGGATCTTGTATTATCTCTTTGATCTCTTTGTGATGTATTGGATGGTGGTTTACTGGATGAATATTGACTACTGGAACTAGATTTTGATTTTTGATGGTTGTGCTGGCTAGAAGTTTCTGGTCTCCATTTTTGAATTTCACTCTGATATTTTTGAATTGGCATAGCAGTTGAAATTAATCCCGGTTTTTCACGTGAATCAGAAACATTTCTTTGAGTATTTTCTCTAGATGAATCTAGACTTCTACTTTCCTTTTTCTCATTCGATCTGCTTCTTTCGCGTTTCTTTTCAATTTCTTTCGAATCGTCAATTTTCTGTAATTTATATTCTTCTTTGAATTTCTTCTCTTTTTGTACTACTTTCATATGTTCTTCAGTTTTCGGTTTAGTTTGCTCATTATCATTAATTTTACCTTGAAGATTTTCTTTGATGACGTTCTTTACATCTTTCTTCTGTATATCTTTCTCCAAAGAAGTATCTTTTTGGTCTAATTGAGGCATATTTTCTGAGACTGTTTGGTCTGGCCTGGATGACTGTCTCGATTCGTTCACATTCAAACTACTTGACGCGTCAGCTTTCTTTGATACGGAAAATTCAAGTTTCTTCCCCACTGGTTTTGGCTTATCTCTTTCAATCTTTTTAGCTCTATCTTTCGCTTTAGTAAACGCAGTATACAAATCATCAGTTGATGCGAATTCGTGTTTGTTAATCTTAACGGTAACACGAGTTGGCGATTCTAAAATATTAGGTGCATCAACATTTAATAAATCCGTATCATCAAAAGTTGCAAAAATTAATTTAGCCAATTTGTCCGGTTTCATTTCTAATTCTTCTTGCGATTCTAAATTAGCTGACAAAATATTTTCAATAAACGCTTGTTTAGAAATGGACATTTCAGGTGGTAATTTCGGAAGTGGTTTTTCATTTTGATATTTCCAATTTAATCCCTTTTGGTTATTATCTGGAGATGTTTCATTACTATCATCACTACTACTACTACCTTGGCCTTTATCATCTTTTTTCTTTGATGATATTCTCGGTGCGGATACAGGAGTTCTAGTATTTCTTCTTATTGGAAATGCATCCGCCCACTCCATCAATTTCTTCTCGGCTTTTGTCCTAACTTTTTCTTTCTTCAATTCTTTCTCCTTCATTCTCTTTGCATATTCAATAAGCGAATCGTTTGTGTTTAGTTTCGGAGTACCTGGACACGTAAATGTCTCATCTTTAAACAAGTTATCTGTTGACGCGTATTCGTACTCATTAACTTTAACAGTTACTTTTTGTGGAACCTCCATTGCAACATTTTTTGGTATCGTATGCAAAGTTTTTAATGGATTAACAATCATTTTATCTGGAGAAATACTTTCAGATGGATAGAAATCCTCAATATCACATAAAGCAAGATCTGATAACGGAAATGAATTTATAGTGAAATCGGTTGCGTTTGAATCATCGATTCGCGTTGATGAAAGTAAATTATCGTTAGTGAATGTCATTGTATTTTCAAATTGACCGCTTGTATCGGCAATCGAGGTTTGATGATGCTGCATAACGTTTCCCATCATTTTGTTCATGAAATCCTGGGTATCGATGAAATTGTATGGCAATGAATTGTACTGTTCTGTCATGTTATTGACGAGGGAACCATGATTTGAGACTGGAATCATTGGGTTCTCATTATGAGCCCCCATCGAAACCTGTTCGACAAAAGAGAACATAAGATCATCTAAGTCTTTACAAGTTTCTCTTTTGCTTACTTGTCTCGATGGACTCATCTCTGGTGATTCATTGTTATGTGGTTGTTCGTATTTACCAACCAAAAGCGGCCCACCTATTTAAATAATAATTATAATTTTAAACATATTTGTAAAAATGGATCAAGTAACCACAAACATATGACATAGTTCGACAAAAATATTCAATTCTTTTTTTTTATAATTTTTAATTTTGTTTCTTTTATAAATCAGGGCAAATCTCCGGAAAGTAATACAATTAGTGTCCAATCGAAGATTCGGTCTTGATTTCGACAAACAAACAAACCGTATGGCGTTATTGATATCTTATGCGTAATGTCAAATATCACTTCTGTTTTCTAATTCATTGTTTATAATTAATACTCGTTAGACTGTTTTTGCATATATTTCTTTTAACTAAGAAGATTAAAGAAGTTATAGCCCTCTAACTTAGAGGCTTCAAATCGGGATCTTAGAGGCTCTAAATCTAAGAACCTGATTTGGGATTTTTACGACAAAAGCACTGCTGACTTGTCAAAAGTCATATATAAACTTTACAAAAAAAATTCTTTAGGCTGTAAGTAACCAAAAAAGCAAAGTATAATATATGGATTGAAGCAACATTTGTCCAAATTTCTCAATTTAGAGTATCGACAAGTGTCGTTTTGAAGACAATCACAGATGGACGAAAAGAAAAATGAAGCGAAGTTAAAAAAGAAAGATGTGACAAACATTAATAATAACAATATATCGAACCTCGTACTAGGTAACAAAAAAAGAATGGCGAAGGAACCGCAATGGGCCAATGATCACGCAATTGCTCAGAGAATTGATAAGGTCATTATGGACTTAATAATTGTCGACATGCTGCCATAAGTATTAAAGTCAGAGAGATTGAAATGGGCCAACCATGTTAGGAGACAAGACAAATGTGTCAAGTTGGTATGGCAAGATGCAGTGGAGAGATAATATTGCAGTGAATCTGCGGACCCTAAATATCGAACGACCAGACGAACGAATGTTGGACCGTAGCAAATGGAGGCTAATTCGAAGTCCGCGAAGACCCACCCCAGGTTGTAATGTTATGGAGAGAGAGAGAGAAAGACATGCTACCATACTCTATAGTGAAAAGTACTGCTTTTAGACGTTTTAATTTAGCTGATCCAAACGCCAATTGTAAATACAATTTTAAATCTGAAATTTTTTTCCGGGCGTCATTAATGCCCCAAACATATAACAAAGTGATGGCAAAATTAACGGACTTAATCGAACAATGTGATTGGTTAAGTTGTACCACCGATATATGACCAAATGCATCAAAGTCATGCTCACTACCGAGTTTGACAAGTCATTTCATAATGGGATCACAAAGATTGAAAGTTATATTGAGAACTAGTGCACTAGAAGGGTACGTCTTACCAACAAAATTTTTCTATTCGTTAGGAATAACGCAGCAAATATGGGTCGTGCAACGCAGAAATTGCACATAGCGCAATTTGATTCTATAGGTTGTGCATCCTACACTTTGTGGCTGATCATTACTGATGCCTTATTCAGACCAGAAGACATAGAAGCAGCGATAAAAAGGTGTAGAAAAATAGTCGGTCACTTTCGAAGAAGTGAACAAGCAACCAGAAAACTGATAGATTGACAAAATCAGTGCGATCTTCCCTCTCACTCTTTACTACACGACATAGAAATGCGGTGGAATAGCACTAATCTTGCAACGATTGGTTGAACAAAAACGTGCAGTAAATCTACATATACAGAGTTGAACATGTCGGTATACACACTTCATGTAGTGATTGAAATCTTATAAAAAATATTACGAACGTTTTAAAGTTTTTTTATGAAGCGACATTAATTTATTTACGACTGCTTGGATAAGTCATCATTACCGCACTCATTTGAGGTGATTTGAGTTACGTAATGAAGTTCATTACCGCACTGGTTTCATTACGTAACGAATTTTTAGCCTAATCACAACAGACTTAATTTATTGAAACGAGCAACAATACAAAAGAAAAAGTGCTATCTACTTACAGAGAAACAATACTATTTTTTTAAACATTAATTGTTATGTTTTTACATTTCGAAATACTTATTCCAGATGAGTAAACATGGTGTTGAAACTGACAATTCAAAGTTGTCAACAATCATTTCAAAATATTTTTGTAAATGTCAAATAGACTTTTCTAAAGAAATTGATTTTGTTAGTAATTTTTAGCAGTCGTAGATAAAATGCTGTATATCACACGTGGGCTAGAGCATAATAAATTACAGTACTCGTGTTACGACCTCGTCGTGCAATTCTTCACACTCATACAGTAATTATGTTTCTAGCCCACTTGTAATATAAATAACTGTTATTACAAAAATTTCATTTAGAAAATCAGGATACTACGGACAACGAAGAAGTGAGAAATATGACGAAACAAATGCATGATATATATTACATTAACTTTACTCGATCCCCGATTTAATAGAATATCTTACTGGCGATGAAGTAAACACCGTTACAAAGGAAATAATGAATTTATTAAATGGAGACCAAAATAGACCAAACCACGGTAAATATAACTGATCGTCTCAAGGTTTGGCTAACCAAAGAAAATAGGAAGAAGGTTTATGGAATTTTCACGATTTGGACAATTCTGCTGGACCAGCATATAGACACATACGGTGTTAATATTCAATATGCATTCAAAAAGTTGAGATCAGTAGAAATATGTGATTTAATAATTCGCGAAAGTAATACAAAAGCAACACACTGGGTTGCTTTTACGTACATGAACCTACAGAAAAACCAACAAAACCACTTCGTATACTATAGAAACTCACTACTACATCTGAATTTGACACTTATCTGGGAATACTTTTGTTAGCCGGCGTCATACATTCTAATCATGTACACATAACTGATCTATTGAAAACTAACTCACATTCGCTTTATCGTGTTTTAATAAAATTAGGTTTGGAAATACCTAATATGTAATACCTAATATCTGACATTTTCCTTATTGAATAGAAACCTTCAGGACATCTATACAGGATGTTTCTGTAAGTCGTGGCATAATTTTAATCACACATACTAGAATGAAAATGATGACGATTTGTGTAAAAAATTTTGCCCTAAACCCAATAAATGACTAAGATATGGGCCTTCAAAATTAAGAAATATTCAAACACTTTCTTAAATATTTTCAATATAGTTTGTCTTAGAAAGAGTAAATTTGGCAAACAGTGCAATGTTATCATAACAAATCGTTTAAGATCACTATTGAAAATATTGAACCACGGGATCAATGCTATACTTATTTCTTTAAAAGTTACTTATTATGCCATAAACCCATTTTCCAATTTTCCAACTGATTCTAAAAGCCTATTCCATTTTAAGGCCCCGTTCACATGACAATGATGTTTTTAAATACAACCGTTCATATGAACGCGCGTTAATGCGCGTCAGAATCTGTCGTGCTGATTGGATATCAAAGCGCGCGCTTAAAAAACGCGCGTCAGATCATTGTCATGTGAATGGAGCCTTAAACTATTTTCACTCTTTGAAATTTTTGATTAGACGCATCGTTTTCGAGATATTTGTAAAAAAAATACAACTTCGATTTTGGAATGTATTCATTAATCGTAGGTGCCTATGGAAACAAACTGTAAGTAAAACCCACCTGATAGAAAAGCTTTTCTAAAAATTGAAAGACATTTATATGAGACAGGAAATTTAAGATAGAAGTATGTAAATAACGGGAATCTGAAGTCAGTTAGTACACCCCAACTAAAAGAAAACATTATGGATTTTGTGGCAGATCGTAGTACCGCCAGTACTGCTGATAGCAACAGTTTAGACATTTCAGAATATCCAAAGGTACGTCTTGGCACGTCTTACATGAACAGCAATTGTATCCATCTATTTGTCGAGAGTACAAGAATTTAAAATAGTTGATCATCCGTTGCAAATACAGTGTTGTCATACTATCATGGAAAAATGTACTATTGATGCTGCGTTTTTAGAAAAAAGTACTTTTTACAGATAACCATTAATTTGAGAAATGCTTAAGAATAATTGTACTGAAAAAAATTCTGATTTCATGCTAGGTTGAGAAATAATTTGACAGCTTTCTCTTAAACGAACTTGTCTTTTTGTGAATAACTCGAAAACGATGTGTCTAAACAAAAATCTTTAAGAGTATAAATAATTTCAAAATGAAATAGGCTTTTAGAATCAGTTGGAAAATTTAATGTTTTATGACATAACAAAAAGGTTTTAAGGGAATAACCTTTGTGAACGTCCTATATAGCATTGATTCCGTGTTTGCATATTTTCAAAAGTCATCTTAAACGATTGTTCATGATAACATTACACTGTTTGCCTTTCCAAGACAAACTATATTGAAAATACTTAAGAAAATTTTTAAAAATTTCTTAACTTTGATGTCTATATATTCCTATATCTTATCCATTTTGGGTTTAGACCAAAAATTTTTACACGAATCGTCATCATTATGACTCTATTTGTGATTAAAATTATGCCACCACTTACAGAAACACCTGTATAGCTGAAACCAAGGATTTAAGATTTAGCGGGTATGTACTGCTATTACTTCTTATTCAAACAAAGGACATATCAAACTGATATGGCACCCCTCTGGAGAAAAAGGAAGAAATCAAGGTTAAATATTTGTGTTACAAGGTAATGTTTCGTGGAAGTGGACAAAACATAGTATGTGACGACTTTTTTACAAGTTATAATTTGGCTTCTACTTTGATGTAAGGATACAATTTGTCAATATTGAGCACAGTAAACAAAATACGTACATTTGAATCAGCCAAATTTTCGAATCCCAGAGAAAAAGCAGTTCTAAATTTACGGTTTTAGCAACAACATAAGTATACGTTCATATGTTACAAAAAAAAGATTAAATCAGTTGTGCTTCTTCCCACATTCAAAGTCTTTAGCGCTGCCGGATTACCATTTGCTAATCGACACAATAATTTAATAGGGGTATTGAATTATAATTATTAAGATTAGTCATGTCTTGTACTTTATGATGAATACAATATTATTAAAATCCCTAGATTTTATCTTTTATTTGCTGAATTTTGGTTTCGATCGGACACTAAATAAAATATTTTCAGAATTTTATCAAGCAGTTAAATGTAATATATTTGAGCTGGTAAATTGAATATTTTTCTATTTATAAATATTAATTTAAATAATTAATAAAAAAACTTACCATAATTTATATAATCATGATCTGACGATTCTGAACCAATTTTAACGAAACCCATCGACTTAACTTTTTCTGCTAATTGTGGATCATCAACATCAATAGTTTCATTACAAGCCAATCTACCATTAAAATCCGTCGCGGCATTCATGATGTTTACATTAGAGCTGGATCCCGAAACTTCTAAGTTAGAATTTTTCTCGACGTTAATCATTTCATTATTAGTGTTTGGAATTAATTGTTCTTGATTCAAAGGTGGCATAACTTTCATATTTGAGTTGTTCATTTGCTGGTTCAAAATATTAGTATTTCCTAATAAATCGCTACACGAGTCCAAATACGGTAATCTCTTATCTAACATAACATCAGACAAAAATTGATCGGCATCAAATGAAACATTTAAAATGCTATTTGATATTGGTTGAGTATTATAATCCAAGATGGTGCTTTGGTGCATCTTTTGCGGAAATTGTGTATTGAACTGTGGTAAATTTGTTGTTAACATGTTCGAATTATTAAATTCGTGGATTGTTTGAACAGGAATGATTAGGTCAGGTGTAGGAACAATATTGGGACTAGAGACAATTTTGGGAATGGTTTCATGATTAGAAATACTTTCCGAATTTGTAATAACTTCGCTTTTGTTGATGGTTTCTGAACTAGTAATCTTTTCGTGATGAATTCCTTCAATAATTTCTGGATTTGTAAATATTTCGTTAGAGATATTTTCAGCCACATATTGCTTATTAGAGTTAGTGTCTTCATATTTTTCATTGTGATGCACATAACTACCATCCTCGGCAATGGTTACTGTTGGTTCTATAACACACGATTGCGAATTTTCCGTTGATGCCGCGATTAATTGATTGTTTTCGTCCATCCGAGGTTCAATTTTGTTGGCGTTAATTTCATTAAAAACTGGATAATTAGGACTCGTTTGTAAGTCATAATCGCTACTTGAAGTATCATAAGATTCATCTTGCATAAATTTATATTTCTCCAATAATTCTTTGGCAGGGCGAACTTTTAATGTACAGTCATTTATAAAACTGTTGTTACTGGTAATTACAAAATCATCTTCATTCATTGCTGTAGGAAACCTAACAAGTGTTTTTGGTTCAATATGCGAAATTTGTGAAGTATTATTCGGTACATTAATTTCTGGGTTTTGTAAGATCTCTTTATATTCGTTATCATATTTGGGTTCATCTTGAACAGTTGGTAAAGGAATTGATGAAGTGGATTCTCTTGAGTCAGCAACTATTAATCCAGAAGTTAATGGTGTTTCTGTTTCATTAACGTTTTCAATATTTTTCGACATTGTATCGATATTTAACTTCTCTGATGAATGTATAGGCTCCAATGAAATATCAACCTCGAATTGTCCATCTTTACTACATTCAACCACTGCATCACAGTCAAATGCTTCAGTAATCTGCGGTTTAGGTAATTGACTTATAGAATTATCGTTAACAAAAGACTCGGTTGCAGCTTCATTTACTTTTTCCTGTAATTTCTCTTTTTCAATGTGATTTTCTTTCGTATCGCAATCAGTTTCCGTTAACATTTCAAACTCAACTGGAATATTATCGTTATAATTCTCTTTGGTACCTTCATGATAAGATGTCTCAGTCGGTTGAGTTTCTTCCATAAAATTATTTGTAGGAAATATTTCTTCACTAGTATCTTGTGATGGTGTTTCAATTTTTTGTGATGTTTCAATTATTTGCTCATCCTGTTGCGAAATAGAATATTCAAAATCTAAGTTTTTATCCTGTTGATTATGATTATCAGGTGAATTACTTTCAGTATGTTCTTGAACCATGGGTTCTTCGACTACAGATGTTTGCAACTCTAAATCTGCTTCATTATTAACAACTTCTGAGGTTCCTATCTGTTCCAAGGGAATATCTGCAATAATTTGTTTATTTTCTTCATCAATTTTGTCTCTTTCCATTTTGTCATCATCAGGACATATCATATCAATTTCATTATCTTCCGTTTCTTGTTGGTTGTCTTCAAAGATGTCACCAATAACAGCATCATTAGGTTTCTGAACATTTTCTTCTGAAATTACTGAACTATTAACAACTTCTACTCCAGAATGTGATTCATGTAGAACTTCAACTAAATCTTTATTTTCTACAGAAGGTCTTATTTCTTCAACTGCCATCTCTTCATCTTCATGGTTACTTTTCATTTCATCAACTTCAATGTTACTCCCATCTCCAGAACCTTCCTCATGACATAACTCAGTTTCAGATTGATCTATCTTTTCTTGAATAAGTTGTGCTTCACTATGACTCATTTGGGGAACATTCATATTTTCACTTTGTTGCATTTGAGTACTTAAAACAGTTGTTAAATCGGAGCTAATATTTTGATCTTTAATTATTTCGTTTGTTTCCTGTTTTTCAAGCGTTTCAACGGCTGGTATAACACAATCAAGATTTTCAAGTACTATTTCGTTATGAACTTCTTCATTAGATTGGATTTGTTGTGTATTGGTTATTTCTTCCTGAATTTGTTGACACGGCATATTATCTAGTCCATGATTATTAGAATGTTCTTGTTCCTTTGTTTCCTCTGTAACATCATTAAATTGAGGACTTTGTTTTTCCGCATCTTCTTTGATGGTATTATCGTTACTAACGTTACTTATTGGGAAAAGTTCATCTAATTGAATCTTTTTCTGTTTGTTAATTTGCCACAAATCGTTCTTTTTCAAAGACGTCGCCAGTTTTACAACAATCGCATCTAAACCTTTAGACCTACATGGTTTAATTCTTCTTTTAGTCGTATTCAAAGTGGGTTTTCTTAAAGAATTTATATACTGAGTTCGAAACGCCTCCATATTGCTTATATTTCTTATTTTCACTACTGGTTTACGCTTGAATAAACAAGAAATATCTTCTGGCAAATTTTCTATAATATGATCATAACTCATTGGCGTCGCCTTTTCTCTGCTTTCTTCATCTTGTTCCTCTGCATCAAGTTCTGATATTAACCTTTTTCGTTTTAGCACATTGGATTCAGCGTTATTTTCAGAATTTTCAACTACTGATGCACTTAATGTTTCCTGTGTACTTTCTATTGATTCAGTTAAGACTTTTTCGTTATAAGATGATTCGGGTTCACTTTCTTGGGCAAGTGCATTTATAATTTCTGAGTTTGCTTTTTGTACATCTGAATTTGAAAAATTATTTTCCTCAGCGCTAACCTGTGTAAAATTTTGAAGATCTAATGAAGTGTTTGGTAAACTTATAACAGATTCTTCAAGGAAACTTGATTTTTCTTGTGAAGTTGAATCTGTTACTTCAATTTCTTCATTTTCATTGTCCTTTTCATTCACAGAAAGATCATGTATTGAATCTTCCGCTTCTTCACATGATACAAAATTATCTTTTTCAGAAGAACTATTCCTTTCTCCTTCTTCAAAATTTTGATCATACTTAGACAAAATCTCAGCCTGATTCTCGGAAGAATCGATCACTAAATCATTTTTTATTGTTACTTCAACCTTATTTACCTCTTCTTTTAGAATTGGGGTATCAATTACTTCGTTTACTTGTTCTTCCACAATTTGATGTTGATCTTCACCAACCATAGGTGGATCAATTACAGCTTCAATTACATTGGTTATTTCATCCTCTATGTATATTTCGTTTGCATTGTAAAATTCGGCGTCAATTTCGAGTTCTTCTACATGATCAACATAATCAGAATGAATTATCTCTTCAGAAGCGTGTTGAACTCTTTCGATTAATTCTTCTGATACAACTTTATCTATTTTAGGTTGCTCTTCTTGTAATTCAATCGATTCCTTTAGACTTTCAACTACTAAAGCAACTTCAACATCAACCCGACATATATTTGTATTCAAATCATTTTCTGTACCAATTTTTTCTGTTTCATCTGATTTAGAACAAGATTCTATTTCTTTCGTTTCGCCTATTGAATTTGGAGTTGATTCAATAGCTCCTTTGTCTAGTAGTGATTCTGACGAAACACTTTCTTTGGTCAACACAGTTTCTGGATTTATTTCTGTTTTGCATATAACTGTTGGGTCACTCTCTAAATCTTGTAATTTGGAATCAACGTTTAACTCCGATTCTGTTTCGTTCAATACATTTAAGGTTCGTTCTGAACTCGAAGTTTTCTTATTTTTTAATTTAACTTTAGTTTCTTTGTTACGAAGTCTAGTGTTTTGTCGAGTACTACGTGATTTGGACAAAGTTTCTTCCACAATTTCGCAGGCAACAATGTCGGTTTTATAACTTTCCTTCCCTCTTTTCCTGCTTGGTCTTTTATTTAGTCTAGGAATTTTTTCCATCAAATCATAATTTTTTAAAAATAATTCTTTCGCTTGAGCTTCATTTTCCATGTCATGTAAATTAAATGGTCCATTTACATTACCGTTTGTGACAATGTCGCAACGCTGTTTTTCTACAACACTCGTTAAAATAGAATTTGTTTTCTTATTTCTTCGTGTAGGTTTCTTACTGATATTGTTTTCTTCATTAATACTTGGGTCATCAAGTTCTCTTTCAATATTTTTTTGTGATTGTATGTCAAATTTTTTATTTTTTTTATTGATTTTCTTTTCAATTAAATCTTCAACTGTATCTTTAGTCCTCCCATTTTTTCTTGTTAATCTTTTTTCAGGAAACCATTGAGTTTCTTCATCATTGCAGTAAGAAATAGGTTTTTGCTCATTTAAGTATCGATCAAGTAGATCTTCTTCACCAATATGCTTCAAATCTTGTAAATTTAAATGATTGCTTTTCTTTTCTTTCTTTTCTCTTGTACTTTTTCTTCGTTTTGTATTGATTTTTCCAACTTCATTCAAATTAAAAACAGGTTCTTTTTCTTCATTTTTTGTAGAATTAATTTCATTGTGATGTTTATTATTTGAAGCTGATGAAGAATTTTCTGCATTTTTGTTCATAAGATCTTCAAAAGGTTGCCAAATTTTAACTTTATCTTGACCAATTTTATCTTTATTTGACACAGATGAAAGTAATGATTTCTCCTTATTATTTTGTGGTTTATTTTTGCCTTCTATTTCATCCTCATTATTCACCGTCTCTTGCTGATTAATATCTTCAATATTTTTTTGATTTATTTGATTATCTTTTCGTTTACTCTTTGATGACTTTGTTGTTTTTAATGGCATAGTTGTTTCTTGCGAATTCCTGTCACATATCTTCTCAGATTTATCCCCAATTATTTCAATTGATACTTCTGGATTTAACATAACTTTTTTCGATAGATTTAAAGGAACATCGTCCGGAGGTGTAGGAACATCTATTCTTGCGATTGTTAGACCATTCCTTATTGTGTAAGGGATGTTCAATAAATTTTCAATTGAGTAATCTGTTGATGTTTTATTTTCATTTAGATTTTCACTCAAATTCTTATTGACCTTTGATTTGTTAGCTTTTCGTTTAGATTTAACTTCGGAAACATCGTCATGTTTGGATTTATTTTTAACAGAACGCCCATTAAAAGGTAAAGGTTCATTAAAAAGCAACATACTTTTACTTCTTGTACATCTACCTACAGTCACAACTTCCTCATCTACTTTACGATTTTTTAAGTTGTTCTCTTTTTTAGGATTAATGCATTTTAACCGTTGATTTTTGGTGGTTTTTAGATGGTTTATTGATTTTTTACCTTTTAAATCTTTTTCTACTATTGAGCTTTTTTCATCGGCTGTGTACGAAAGATCATTTTCAATACTATCTTCATCGATTACTGGATTATCTTTACGTTTTCGTTGAAATTTCGCGTTCGGAATTATCAATCTACTTCTAGCTCGTTTATTGAGATTTAATTTTTTATTTTTTTTGCTTTCAGGAGTAACGGGCAAGTGTTGGCATTTATCTGCGAGTTCAGCAAGTACCGAAAGCCGATTCTCATGCAGAACATCTGATCGGGAGACTTTTGGAGACTCTGGAAGCGACGTTAATTCGTGGTGAGGAAAAATTTCTTTTTCTGGCAGTTCTTCGATGCGAATTTCAACAGGTCGTTCAAGGTCACCATCACTATTTGGAATACTATATGTGATCGAACAGCTATGTTTATGTGCATTGCTGTTGTATAATTCTTCCAATTCTGATTTAGCTTCTTCTATTGTAGTTGTGACTTTATTATCAATAGATAAATCCGAAGTTTTCAAGGATTGAGGTGGTTTATCCGTTTTAGGTAAATCAGAACTTGTATTTTGATATTCTTTGTTTGAATGGTAATAAACAAAGTTCGCAACCGAATTAATATGTTCTTCGATTAGCGAATTTGTTGTTGAGGAATTATTTTTAAACAGTTCTGTAATGGGTTTATCCTCTAATAATTTCTCATCTTTTATAGCATCTTCTTGATCAATATTTACATCTTCTTTAAGAGCCACCTTGTGTATATCATTAGAAGGTAGTAATGCAGATTCAGAAATTTCCTCATTGCTATTTTCAAGATCAAGATCATCATTGGATTCTTCATGAATCACTAATTTTTCATTGGTTAACACAGACGATTCCGAGGTTTCACTGCAAGTGTCTGAGTCATCTTCGTCAATTTTATCTTGTAGATCAGATAATGTTTTTTGTGTTTTATGGTCTTGTTTTTCAATATTTTTAGCTAAATAATCTTTACCCTCTATGTGAATTGGGACATCCATTGGTAGAATACTTGGTGATATCCTATTATCAACAGTGGGTGTAAAAGATTCATGACTTAAATTTTCAACATTTTTAGTAGCTAATAGGTTTATCGAATCAGCTTTTTCTGTATCTTGTATTTCTATTTCATTAATTTTTTCATCACCTTCTTTTTGGACAACATCAACAATAGTTTCTAATTGCATTTCATGATTTTGATCATTGATATTATGGGAAGGTTGACATAAATATTTAGTATTGTTTTCATTGTCAATGTCTTCTTCACAAGAATAAATTTCAAAACTTGGATTTTCCATAGTGGGCAATTTTACTACACCTTCATTACTTTTAGCATGTTTTAACTCTCCTTTATCCAGTGAATTATTTAATTCAATTTGAATGTCACAGTTTTCTTTACTAATTTCTGTTACAGCTTCATTAGTTTTCACAATTGCAACTTTATTGTTTGTGTCTTTCAATATATTTTCTAATACTTCTTGTTCATTATCTGCAGTTTTTTCATTGATGTCTCCAAATAAAACATCACCTTCATTTTGGTCAATATCCTTTTCTTCTGTATTTTTAATATTGATATTATCAGGTTTATTCAAAGATGACAGGCAGCTTTCTAATTGGTTATCAATATCAACAACTCTATCTTTATGGATAACTTCAGAGTTATCTTTCTCACTCGATAAATTACTAGAAATGTGCTCAAAATTGTCGGTTTCAGCAAGATTATTTGCTGTATGTCTTTTTTCTGAATTATCTACATTTGAGGTTTGATGGTTTGATGTATTACATACAAAATAAGGTTCTGTAATCATAGGATCCCCTGATGCTTTTAAATTATCTAATGTATCATTTTCAACCATTCTGATCATGGTATTCAAAAGGTCAAGTATTATTATTTGAGAATCATCATTAGGACTTAAATCTTCTAATTCTGAAGGTATTTTGAGCAATGAATCTAATCGATTTTCCACTAATACTTCACCAACTTCTTTATTTACGTCACATATATTCGCTTGAAATGTATCTGTATGGGAATCACTAACAAAATTATCATTTCTCTCTACGTCTTTTAAATTTGGTATAACATTTTCCACGTTGTTATCTTTTTCTTCATAATTACTGGTGACATAAGACGGCGTTAAACAGCTATCAGCATTGTTGTAATATCTGTCGTGTGAACTAGTATAAACTTGATCAATTGAATTACAATCGGGAGTTAAAAAAGCTTTTGATATCCTTATAGAAGAACTGCTATTCTCATGCTTCTGATAACTTGGATAAGTAGTACTGGTAGAGGTAATTTCAACGCTGTGCAGTGAAAAATCCAAATCACGACTCACTGATTCACAGTTATTATCAATATCGAATATTTGCGAAGATGAAATTTCATTGACTTGATTGTCCGAAACGACCGGCTTCTTCGTTTGTCTGACACGCGATCTTTTAGTGTTGGATCGCGCGACCTGTGGTGGTTCCGGTGGTATTGGAACTGTGTCAATCTTTGGCTCTTCATCTGCGTACTTATTTAATATTGAATCTTCGTCCTCTTCAATCACAATTTGTATTTGATGCTCACTTTTTATTTTCACAACTGTCCCGTTCTTCAACGTGATATTACTACATTGACTCGTCGATGGCGGTAAATCCATCAAGTCGAATTGTCGTGATGTTGTCTTTCGGCAGTCCTTTACCAAACCTTTCGAACACCTATTTTTCACCTTATTGCCTCTAGCCTTACTTAAATAATCACTAGGTTTTGTTTTTGTACTCTGCATGGCTTCCAATTTAACACTAGATTTCACATTTATTTGTACATCGCTTTTTACACTTTTGTTGAGATCACTATTACAAGTTTTAGCACTTTTATAGTCATTGTGTTCCAATAAAACAGCGTCCTCGTCACTATCATCCAAACAGATGGTGTCAATAGCACTATTCACGACGGTATCCGCACTTCTGATGCTGGCATCTTGTGAAGACTTTTCTTCCAATGAGGTATAGTCTGGTTTGTTTGAGGGTGTCGCTGTGCACTTTTCAGTGGGAGTTAGAAGTGATAGCCTACTAAGTTCGCAATTTATAGTCTGAAAAATACAAAATTTATATGAAATTTTAATCCATAAAAGATTCTTTATGTGATCTTACCTGTGCTTCTTCATCATCTGTATCATACTCTTCGGGTATTTCATTGATGTCATAAAGTGATAGCATTCTAACTGCTGGATTTGAGGTAGTGATGTTACAAATACCCATTGTGCTCCTTTGCACAGCGTCCCACAATTTTAACTTCTTCAATAATTTTCTGTTGAATTTAATATTATAAGTTAATAGGAAGGTAAGGTTACAAAAAAATACTATGACCTAACGATTTTAATAAATTTTATTTAAATTTTTAGTCAATATATTTGACACCTGTCTTGGCGTACGCTAGCAATGCGTTGGATTAGGTGGAAATGTAGCTATTTACTGCACTTGGCATTTTTGCTACGCATAGATATAAATAGGATTTATATGAAGACAAATCCAGAATTATAAGTACGAAGGTTTTCACAGGCGGTGTTAATTGAACTAAATCTAAAACAAACACTAGACCTATAACTAGAAACTTTCGGGTTAAGCTATGTTGCCATGTTACAACCTTCTTCAGAAACAAACTTCGAAGTGACAAAATCGATTGTATACCCGTAAAAGGAATTTTTTACTGTACGATTACCAAAAATTTATGTATATTTTGACTGCCAAAATCAGTTTATATTTTATAGTTACATGAGCAAAGTTTTTTACGCAAATTATGAATGTGCAACAAAAATAAAACATGACGATTTAAATTGTAGCCACCAAAAGAAGGAATACATGTGTGGGTTGTAAATTATTCAACATCATTTGGATTAGAATTGTCAATACAGTTACCAATCTTCAGAAGCAAGTGTTTGTACGCATAGCATAGCCATTTAACAATGAAGCGTTCCAGCACTAAAAAAAACGTTCATTGAAGGGATAGTGACAGGGAAATTGAACATCAAATGCGTCAAAATTCAATGGATACGTTTTCTGTTCGAAGTCTTCGAACTTCTTTCTCAAGAAGATTGCAACATGTCATCCGACACGTCCAAAATTTTTTTCAAAAGACGCATGGCTTAGTCCGAGCTTTTAGTAATCCTAACTCCCTTGTAATCACAACCATACAATCGGCCACAGTCGGTCGTGTATTCGTCAATGTGTTCTTATCAAAGCTGCATATGTCGGGGAATCACCGGAATGGTTTAACCTATGTATTATGGCGAATAAAATGCTAAGGCTACACGACAAACAGAAAATTTTTAAACTATTAAACAGTGGTACAAGTGGAAAATCGTCGGCGTCGGCCGCAAAGTATTGTTAGTGCGGCAACAATTTCGAACATAAAAGCAACAAGGATTAAATAATAGTAATTATGCTACAAGTTATTGTCGTAATTAAATTTCGCGTAGGCACATTGGGGATCGTATTTCGACAGCAAAACGTAAAAGAAACTCTGTGTAATTCAGATTACACCCTAATGGAAACAGAAGTTTATAAATGGTTCTTGTCACAAAGAGAAAGACATGAAAACGTAACCACCACTGTTCTAAGAAAAAAGATTATGCAGATTTATACCAAACATTAACCGATTTAAAGGCATGGCATTCACAGATTAAAAGTGAATTGGGAAAAGCTGTCAAGCGATTCTAGTGATCCAGCCGTTTCTGAAAAAAATGAACGAGTTAAGCTATTACCTTAGATACCAGCAGATATGCAATGCTGATGAATCAGTAATACTTTGTAAGCTGCTACCAAATCATACATTACTATACGTCAAAGAAACCCCAGTGCCAAGGCGAAAAAGTTCCAAAGAGAGATAACTTCTCGCATGTGCCAATAGCGATGGTAGTGATAAACTCAAAATGATGGCTATTGGCAAAGCTAAAAATCACAGATCTTTTAACAACCCTAATATTCCAGTTGGGTACTATTCAACAAAGAATGTCTGGATGATATCCGCTATATTCGTTGAATGGTTTTATACATCCTTTGTCAAACATGTAAGCATTTCAAAAAGGGAACAATCTGAATTGGAAGACGCTGTTATTAATCAGCAATGCTCACTCATGGTTAAGAGGTAACTGCGCCTCTTAAGCATGAGTGAAGCAATGATGGTGAAATTGTAACCATATTTTTGCCGCCTAATTACACCCCGCCACTTCAGCCAATAGATCAGAATTCAGAATGCCATATGGCTAACAAAGCTTTACTGTCGAAAAAATCTTTTATCGTTTTGCCTGACAGACAGAATGTGGATCATTCTGGCTGTCCAGGACGACATTTCAAACGCCCTTAAAAATATTAACTTGATGGATGCAGTTCGCGTTCTTGGCGGAACGTGTCAACTTATACAATAAGTAAATGCTGAAAAAAATATTTTGTTATTCTACTAATAATGATCTTTCATTAATTCCGCAAAGGAAAACTTTTTGAAGACAAGCAGAAGGAATTTACTGAAATCAGAAACAGATTGCAATAAACTAAAATTAGAACTAACACTAGAAACTTTCGGGTTTTGCCGTGCGTCTTTTATGAAAAGGTTTGACGTTTCGGATGCCATGTTGCAACCTTCTTCAGAAACTGGTACGAAGTGACTTCGAACCAGTTCTAGTTTTAGTTCTAATTTTAGTTTAATTCACACCGGCCGTGAAAGCCTTCGTATTTAGATTGCACTAAATTTCGTGTGATAATCATCAGCATAACGAAACTAAACTTAACGGATGAATTGTAGGTGATGTCGACTTTTATCCCTTAACCGACCTTTTAACCTTCTACATAGCGATATTAGTGTTTCGAATGATGAAAAGATATAGCTGAACCAAAAGTGAAACATGAAGATACAATCAGCAGTTTTAACATGATATAAAATGGGCTGATGAAAATACAGCCGAATTAGGAACACTGCACACCCGTAGGCTGATGCAACAAAAGAAAAAGTGTTGTAATACTGAATTAGAACTTCTGTATTATATATGTCCTTTTTTTGTAAATTTATTTATATATCTATTTTTTTATTTTGGCATAATGCAGATCCAGTAAATTTAAAATTATTTTAATGATGACTCAGTAATCCGAAATAGCGAGTCCCCACTGTATGAGTAATTCTTCAACAAATCTACATTAATTGTACTTAGTTTCATTAAAGTTCAAAAAACAATACAAAATTTGCAAAACGACTTGCGCGGAACTAAGTTTACCGATTCTTTGATGCACGCGTACTCAAAAAATCAAAACTTGCAGAATTATTTTCTTGAAAACTACAACGCATTGGTACAAGTTCCGAGACAGGTGACGCATATTTTGTTTTCCCTAATCACAAAAATAAATTAAAATCCATATGTTACATATTGTGTATTGATTTTTTTTTTCTTTTGCAGTATCAAATATGAACCAAGTGATAGTTTTAAACATTATTATTGAAATCCGAAAACGTTTAAGTAACAAATGTAGCCTTAAAGTTGGCAGAAAAATAAGAATAAGAAGAAAATATAAACTAAAAAGAAGAATAACTGTTACAGTAGAGTTAAGTGTAAATAACGATGGTGAATCTAAACTAGAACCTGAAAGAAGTTATTGGACTATTCGGATTTATCTCAATCGTTGAAAGTTAAGAAAACGTATTAAACTGTATTTAATTTCGTAACGTTTTAATAACAACTTTTATAATCTTTTTTATGTGACCAATAAAATTTTTAACCTTACCTTACTAAATTGCCAAATACATTGTTATCACATCGATATTCACTAGAAACTGCATACAAGACTTTCAAAACGAACAGTGAATTTGGATAGACGCATCTTGCGGGTGCCGGCTTCTTATCGTAAAGTAGGAACATGTTTTCAAGCAGATTGATGACACGGTTTTCCACTTCTTTCTCAAACTCCAAATGATTACCTTCTGCAGAGTACAGGGCATTATGCTCGAGCTGTATATACTCCACCACAAGCTTGACCAGGATTTTTGAAAACGGAAATCGCTTCTTTTTCTGTTTAAATTAACAAAGCTAATACAACAATTCTGTTTTAAATCATTAATATTTACCTCTTTAATCTCTTGATGGAATTCATGAAGAAACAGTAATTTTTTATAGATGTCTTTCACGAAAGTTTGTGATTTACGTTTCTTAACGCTTGCTGTTTTAATTTCTCTATAAAAATATAATGATAATATCAATTTAAATTAAAGTATTTATTTGTTATGGGGATATTACCAGAAATGGAGGTAACTCTTTTTCATTCTTTAAATTAACTCATATGAGAAGAAAGTGAATTTGAATTGAATGAATCATTTTTAAAAAAGAAAAAGAGAAATGTATGACATGCATTAATTTGATTCAATTATTAAATTGAAATGAAATATCATAAAAAAATCAAAAATATAAAAAAAATAATTTGTTGAACAACAGTTTTGATGATGGTAGATCTTCATTCTTCATTATGACGAAAAGCTTCATAACCGGTGATTGGATTATCCAAATTTGCGTTGGTAGGATTAGTACATAGGATTCTTGTTCCATTTTAAAATAAACTGATTATTAACAATAGCAAATTTTAAAATACATATTACATTTTGAATTTCAACATCAACTTATTGAACATTTATGAACAAAAAAATAACAAAAATTTAATTTAAGTTTAAAATTGTTACTATTTCTTTCCACGTGCATGAAATTTTGAACATTAAAACAATTTTATTTGGTATCCTGAGTTATTCCATCTTCATGTAATCTGGCCAAGGTATGTAGAAACTCGTAGACACCTAGATTTATTGAACAATTAAATAGAACAAAAATACCGATAGGAATCATAAACAACTAGACATAAATAATAAAATACATATAATGATTTATATGTATAAAATATATCTTATATTTCTAATTTAATAATTATTAATTTGTTCTATTACATTAATTGAAACGTTACTACATTATTACTTAAGGGGGTATTTACGTTTGAAATCGAAAAAAATAAATTTTTTAAATCGTTATTTTACTTTTATAATTCATAGAGAATAAGCAGAAGTTTTAGTTTTTGGAATAACTTGAAAAATCTGAAAGATATGACCGTTTTTACCGTGCATATGCCGGTTGAGAATAATAAGAAAAAAAATTTAATAAGGCACGTTGAAGACGGATGGGTGCGAGAATGCGCAATGTATTAGCGGAAAAGTGAAGGAAAACTCACTTATTGTGGCTTAGCAATCCGAAGAAACATTGCATCTGTGTCAGAAATAAAAAATGAAATATCGGCTGCATTTTACTATAACAGAGTATCAGATAACAGTCCTCAACGCCATTATGGTAAAGTCCCCCTGGTAAAGATAGCTGAATTTAGACAGTCTTACGCACAAGGGACCACTTGTTCCATTTTTTGTTCCAATTCCACTTTCTGTAGAATTTTAAAAAGCTATTCAACCTATTTATCAAGATTTAACATCAGAGGGTTTATTGGAACGCTGCTTAGGAGGAAACACCCAGAATAGCAACGAAAACCTCAATTCGCTCATTTGGACGTTTGCTCCAAAACAACTGCATTCTGGTCCAAAGATAGCTCAGTTTGCGATGTATCTAGCAATTTGTATTTTTTATGAAGGTTACACACCGTTGTTAACAATGATGCAAAGTATGGGTATTACTTTGAGTACCGATATTTTTGAATATATGGAAGCCAGAAATGCGGAAAGGCTGGAACGATCCGATCGGCGAGCATCAAACGCTACTAAACAAGCGAGAACAGGAAAAAAAAGATATTAGATGCAGAAGGCCTTCTATGAAGCAAAAGAAGGACTATTATACGGCATTGGAATTGCTGACTAAAGGTAAATCACGATTTTTCATTTTATCACCCTCATAACAGTACTTCAATTTCAAACGCTTCTCCTGAAAAGTTCTTTTTTTTTTGTAAAGTTAAGTAAAAAAACGTAATTTTTGACAAGCCGCCATTTTTTTTGTTACGATTTTTATCCAAGAAATTAGTAGTTAGTTTCTATTCGAAATATTTTTGAAATCTACCTTAAATAATTTCTTCACAGTAAAAAAAATCGTGAAAATGATCGATTTTTTGACTGTCCAAACGTAAATACACCCTTAATCATATTATAATTCATAAGTATAGTTCAACATTTACACAGCAAATATATAATCTACTCGTCATTTCGTTATCCATAAAAACAGCAAATAGCATTGTCCTTTAAGGACAAACTTGCACTTTAGAGTAGAAAAAATAAGGTTACTAGGAAATCGACAATCAATTGTGAAGAACCAAATTTTTGACATTATTCGACATGAATCAAATTATAAATATCATCTTTATTATCATTTTAAAATCAACAAATAAAATGTGGCACAGTATGTACCTTGACCACAAAGGTCACTTATCCGCTTCGAATTGAGATGTATTTGCTCTCATATGCATATATTTTATAATTTTGTCCTTAATACATACAGTAGATCATAGCTTATATTTTGATATGACATATATTGTTATAATATATACTTAGATGGCTGTAAATAAGTAAAAATTGAAAATTATATCGAAAAATTTAAGGCTATACTCAGAACGCACGTCTATAGAGGGAGCACACACATAGGAATTAGATTATGAATCAATCTCACTTATTGCTGAGAAACACGTGACTACTGATCAATCTACATTTTTAAGACACGTATGAAGCAATGTACCGAAATTCAGATTACGAATTCATATCATGAATTCAGAAAACTACTTCGGCTAATTGAGGCCAGCAGTAATGCCAGAAGATGGCCCTTTTTGAAATAACAAAAACTTGAATAAAGAGAAGTCTTCAATGCCACATATATTATGAACTTACAAAAGTCTACATACAGTATAAGTATGATGTTATTTTCAATAATGAACAATTAATAGACATTTATTGACACCTTCTTTGGCTTAACTAAGGGCCATAATCCATTGAGGCATGGAATCCACGCTAAACAGTCACATCCATTGATATGTCGCCTTTTCAACCTATGTTCTATTAATGATTGCTACTGGATAACCCGACGTGGAAACTTTAACATCCAAATTGAAAGAAGAATACCCCATGAGTTCTGATAGAAAGTATTCTATATAACAATTTTCAAATTTTCCTCATTAAAGTACGGTCAGATATATTCTTTGTCAGGCGTCATCATGGAAAGCATGAAGAAAAATCGTCCTGGTTCTGAAAACCCCCAAAAAGGAAACCAGAAAGAGACAAACTTTTTGAACAGACGAAAAAACTTATGAATATTAAATTAAATAAAAATACGTAGTAAAAATACTTAACAGTATTACTTCAGCTGTTGACTCAGAAGTCAAAATTTTCGCAACTGAACCCGAAAGTATTGAACACGTATTGGTTAATATTTCTTCTGGTTCAAAACAATTGTACCAGGCACAACAATCTGAACTATTCACATGAGCAGTTTTCCATCCTGACTATGTCTGAATCGCTCGAGCGTCAAGTCCAGGATTTAATATATATCTACGTGGCCAAAATGACTGACTAGAAGAATCATGCCATTATAATGTCAGGACCTTTACAAATTCATGTGAGGGAATTTCCCAAGAATGAAAAAGGACTTCATTTTCCAATAAATTCTTACTCAAGAAAACTTTTAAATGAAAAGAAACTATCCAACGTCGATGGTTAATTTATTGGGTATCAAGCAATAGTGTCTTTTGCTTTTATTATGTATTTTACATTACTTCAGCTTCTAATAATAATAATAAATAATAAACTGGATCAACTAGTAACAAAGAAACACAAGAATTAATTTCTAAGGAAAGTTTACAATGGAAAAATGTGTTTCAACGATTGATGTATTACATTATTTTAGCTGAAAATAATATGGCATTTAGAGAATCTTCTGATAAATTATTTACCTCCAATAATGGGAAATTTTTAGGAGTCGTACAATTATTGGCAAAGTGTAACCTGTCATAGAAGAGTATGTCAAATTAGCAATGAAAGGTGCGTTCCCTGACCATTATAGTGGCAAAAATATACAAAATGAATTGATAGAATTTATGGTATCGAAAGTAAACACAACATTATTATCACTCGTAAAGAATTCAAAGTATTTTGCAATCACAGCTGTCTGTACTCCTGATATAAGCTATAAAGAGCAATTCTCCCTAACATTAAGGTGCACTGACATAACTGAGGACTCAGTAAGCATTAAAGAATATTTCATTACATTTTTGGAAATTGATGATACAACTGGTGCAGGTCTCACACTACTTATTGTTAGTAGTATTAGTAGTAACTATTGGTCGTAAAGTAAAATGCAACAGTAAGAAATAAAGGGCACCAAAAAATATCTTGCCCGCGGTTGTCCGATGCTAAAGTCGGCACTTTTGTTAATTTTTGTGTATATTAAGCAATTTTATTAACTTGTTCTTCATACAAAATTGTGCTCGATATTGATCCAGCTAATATCCAAAAAAGTCGCCAAAAACAAGTATCGTGAGGGTTAAAGGATTCCAAAAATGAACCTGAGTCAAGGGACATCTAGCAAACCAACAAAGATAGGAAACAACAATTAATAGTCCGTCAGCAAATCTAGAAGTATTTGTGTGATGTACTCCTAACAGCCAAAAAATTATCTTTGGTCTATAGACCATAATGTATTTGTCGTAAATGATATTATGTAGACCAAATGAGAAAATAAACTAGGAAATCACATAATAGTACCATACAAAACACCACAAAATAAGTGTCAGCTTTCCAAAAACAGCTACAACTATACTCTATTTTTTAATTCGGAGGAGTGTTTTCAAATTGAAGTGCCAAAAAGAAGGGTTGTTATTAGTCAGTTTTAAGCAAAAATTACACTAGGAAAATTCGAGCTGTTGCCGTATAAATTGTGTATTTTAAGTTGTTTGTTTAATTTTTCTCCTTAAACTTGCGTTGTAATAGTAAAATAGTTCATTTAAGAACTAATCGGCAGACATACTCTTCGTGTGAAACATTTTCACGTCGTTTTTCTTCAATATGGACGAAGTACCAAGTACTTCTAGATTGCAAATACCTGCGCCAAGAAGGCGAAAATTTCTCAGATTAGGACATTTATCTGTGATTGAAAAGCAAAATATATTAAATATATTCAAAAAACTTTGAGCAGACAACCCCACAATGAGAATCAATGCTATTGTCGCAAGAATATCGAGTATGATAGGTTGGTATTAAAAGACATCACCATCAATAGGAATACATATGTTATTTTATTTTTAGGCGCAGTCTACTATTTATCGCACAATAAAAGAACTGCTGTTATTATCATGGATAATGCTTTATATCACAGCCGTAAAGTTGAAAAAATTCCCACAACATCTAAAAAGCTCCATATGCATAGCTTGGTTGATCCCAAAATATTCAGTACAATCAAAAGATGGCTCGGTCTGAGCTTATTCACCTAATCCGATTTAATAAAGACCAATATAATACTCACATAACAGATGAGATGGCCAAAAATCGCAACAAAACTGTTTTCAGGTTACCACCATATCACTGCAAACTCAACCTAATTGAGTTGGTGTGGGCTCAAATAAAAAATGAGGTGGCAAGTAAGAATACTTCATTCAAATTAGTAGGTGTAAAGGTACTGTTAGTACAGGCTATCCAGAATGTCACTCTGGACAATCGGAAAAAATGTGTTGAACATGTTATGAAAGAAGAATATGTGAGTTAATTGGTGACATAATCGAACTATTCATTATATCATTGGGCAAAGATAGTTCAAGTGAAATGGTTAGTGAATAATTACTTTAAATTAATAATTATTTTATAATTTGTTCAATAAACAATAATTCTGCAGTGTTTTTTATATTTAATTAAAAGAACAATAACCATCTATGTTTACTTATCTACCGCCTTTAAGAGGTTTGATTTAAATATTTCACCTATAATGATCAGCCCTTGTTACTACAGATTAAAAGTATATATATTTTTTGAAATAAATAAGTAATTAAATTGGTAACTGGAGTTTACTTAAAATCCTCTCTGGTTTTAAAACTCCCGCCAAAAAATATCTTTGAAAAATTACGCTGTGTAAACGTGACTTTTCATTTTACTCCAACGAATTAAAAAATAGAGTATACCACAGGATGACTTTCTTTTCAACATTGGACAAGATGAGGATCAAACTTGTTGACTTTTTAACTTGCAACGACAAGTCAGAGACTTCTGAACATATTCTGTGTAGTTGCGTCGCCAGACATCGCCTAAGACACAAAATCTCGGAAAGGTTTGCCTGACACGTACTAACATAAAGGAACAAGACCTCAGAGCAATACAAAGGTTCATCAAGGACACTAAGGATTTGCCCTAAACCTTTGGAGGAAGTAAGTTACAGTAGATCTTATAGGTCGCGGTGACGAGGGGTTCCTTCAGCTTCGCAGCAACAAAAAAAAAAAGTGGATGATCAGAGAAGCAATTCATGCTTATTAGCACAAGAATACTATCACTGAAGATGGTTCAGAGTTTACCCAAAGAATTCTTTACACACTACACCAGACGCAGCAAATAGTAATTAGTTAATGATTAATTAATTCCTTAGGTATACATTGATAAAGGAATGGCAAAACTTAACAGCTTTTAATTACATTACTATTAACTATTTGACGCCTAAATTTTGTATTGAAAAATTCCAGCATATTTCAAGCACTGTAGACAACTAATAGTGCTGTCACTGGCTTAAGGGAAGCGCCATCGCACATTTAAAGAAAGCGCGGGATTTTTGATTGCGAATTTTTAACACCTTTGGTACCCAAACAGTTAAATATATAACACTAAATTTATAAATAATAAAAATTGATACATAAACAAAATAATTAATGATACCACATCACATTATTAATTTAATTGCATCACATTACAGTTTGATGCGATTAACAAATAACCAAAAAGTTTTAGCTTGGTAGTGTTAAATATCTAAAATTTTATTATTAGTTGGTTTTGTTTACATGTATTTGCTTGAAACAAATTGTGTAAATGAATGAATTACTGTATATCAACAGTTAGTGTAATTTTCCCCATGTATAAGCAACAATAACAACAACATGTAATCTTAATGTTAAGTCAATATTATGTGCATAGTTTCAAATCATACCTAAACAGAATTTCTGCAATTTTCTTTGAATTTTTGATTCGACACTCTGCTTGAAGTTCCAATAGCGAATCCTTAGCCAAATCAGTTCTCCCTAAATATCCTAAAACCAAAAACAAACAACACAACAATTGAGTTAAAAAGAACAAAAATGTATCCCATTACAACAAACGTACCTTGATTCAGCTTCTGAAGGGACGGTGCATCATTCATAACCTGAAGTCCAGGCTCTTTACCACCGTTCACTTCCAAAGTCATGCTTTAGCGCTAAAAATTTATAATCCACTTAAGTAAAGGTCATCAGTCCAAAACTATTTTAACAGCCACAATTGTTAGTATAAACTAGTAACAATTGACGAATTGTCAATATGGTAAATAATTATTTACAACAAATAAACGTATTTGCACGATAAGAATACGAGAACGCACCTACTTATCGTAGATAATCAACTACGCCAAAATACTGGGCCATGCTAAATGAATCACGCCTTGTATGGACGCGTACGCCTTGTGGGATTACTTACTTAATACGTTGCACGGCACTCAGATTCAATTTTGGGCACGAATTTTCACGATCAAACGATCTCAAACTCAACAAAATATTGCAATTTGTTAACAAAGTCGCACGACTATTCCCTATCATGTTTTTGTTGGAGACGGAGAAATGTCTTTTTACTACCAACCTAAATATGTCGTCAAATGTCGTTTACTCTAATGTGCTAATTCTCTAAATTCATTTTCGCGTTTTTCATAAAAACAATTATGTTGCAGGTAAATTTACGGATCAAATTATTTTTTAAAGATTTGAATTGATATTTATTGTTATTTTAAAAACCCCGTTTTAAATGACCATAAAATATGTGGTTGTACGTAAGGTCATATACCGGTACGTTCTATAAATCTTGGATGTGTTAAATAATATTTATAAAAAGATGTGATATTCGTAAAAAAATCAAAAATTAAAGATTTTAATTGAAGAGAAATTTAGAATTGCATTAAAATAATTATTTATTAATTTAATAATTCTATACAAGTACTGTATTGTCGATATATTCTATGGGAGTTCTTATTGATGTATAGTACTTTTGATGTTTTGCAGTTGGCAACCACTACGTTTTCTTACGTCAACCAATGAGGCAACGGAAGAAATTACGAGCATTTACCTTCAGCTGCGAATTGTTCCCTTATGTGACATGGCGTCTGAGAGGAAAGTTAGTTCGTAAACGGGTACAAACGTTATAAATTCGATTTTATGACATTTTATGAAGAAGCGGCTTACCATACAAGCCACAAACGTTTTCTAGAGACTTGCATTGATGGTAATGCATGCAAGGAAAACACAGCGGATGAACGATGGGTAGGCATTTTGCCCTTATTGACACAATCGAGGGGCCGAGTTTACGATTGAAAGTAAACGGGCCCCACGGTCGGTCAATAAATCGCCTTAAAAAGGCGGCGCAATCATCGCAAAATACTAAAAAACATTTTCTTTTTCTGTTTAGGTACTTCGAAAAGCACCAGACCCATCCCTATCAGGTAAACAAATTTGGTAACTGTTTATTTATTATTAAATTCCATTTATGTGTATTTTACGGGGCTCCATTAAACAATTATCTGTTGTTGGGTAAATTACTTTGTCAAAAAACCTTCAACTTGTCATATGAAAGCCATCAAACTTATAAACATTTTTCATATCATTAGTAACAACAAATTGGTTGCTTCAATGCAACTAATATAAACATACAAGGAAACTAAATCGTTTACTTTAATAACTACGTTCTTTATTGGTATTAATAGAAAATTTCTGGATTAAACATGAAAACAAACATGTCTACCTTGTATAGTTTTTTGACATAACCTATTTTCCATTTATATGCGATTTATTGGCTCCTATAGCAAAATAACCCAGATCTATGGCCGAATAAGTGTTTGTTGGTACATCCTGGTTGGTTTTTGCGCAGAATTCCAAATATAGCTCGTCGAAGAGTTACGGGTCCGGTGGTGAACGCTATGAGAGGATACGGGACTCACCGAACGGGAACTACAGATCGGACAGCCCGGACAGTCAATCGCCGCGCGACCGAGACAGACCCTACCAGTCGAAATCTTATCTACAGAAAATACGTGAGAAGGAGAGAGAAAATAGAGACTACAAAATGTCACGGGACAAGTATCCAGGTAATTTCATTTCTTTTATTAAATCAGCTATTAACACTAAGGTTTATTATGCATGATGATAGATATAATTCATCAGAAAAGTGTATCTTAATTAATGATTACTATATCAATATATCTCTTTTAATCTTATTGATGATGATAATGTGCTTAGGTCAAAAAAGAATCTATTAAACTGTAAACAACCCATGAAGATGCTACTACAATTCATAATTCTTGTGTGATGTTATTCTCTAATAAATAAGAATATTTTTTAAATCAAATCTAAGGATTAAACTACAAGCAATTATGTATAATTGGAGTGCTATGTATTTTTGGAAGCATGTTGATAACATTGTTGATATTCCTAGAATTCATTTTGGATACAAATTATATCATCATTTCCAAAAAAAAGAATTCCAATATGTTTAACAATGTTTACTTTTATGATAAAACAATAAACCAAGCTAACAAATGGTTTCTTTATATACAGGTCAGGTATAAGTCAGTTAAGCAATATTAATAAATTAATAAAAACAAAGACTAGATGAAAAACGTAATTTATTGTTGAACAAAACTTTAGTTTGTTACATCTTGTCTTCAAACTGTATACAACCTTTATCCATACATAATTGGTTGAGCATGGACCTTCAGGTTTTGCAAAAGAACTGTGGGTGACCATTCAAGTGTTAATATCATATAGTAGGGTGACAAACGCTTTATTCTTCAAGACTATTTATCCTTTTGGACGTTATGTCTTGTGACTATGCCATTTCTCCCCATTTTCCCCATATCCAATCACCAAACTCATTATAGAAGAAAGAAGAAACTCCTAGTCTATAGTGTGGTGGAGCGTCGTCTTGTTGGAAACACCTTCTAATTGCGGATTATTTGCAAGTTCCAGAGCAGTTCCAGATACTTTTTCGCATTCACTGTTCCAACAAAGTAATAACAAGCCCATGATGAACTCCAACCCATACTATTATACCAAGAACATTTAATGGATTTACTTGAACATATCCAGTACACACAATTGTGCAGGTTAATTCGCCTTTTCAGTTTGAACTGCGCTTCTTCGCTTCAAAGAGTGGATTTATGAAAATTGACGTCGTCTTCAGCGCAGCCAGTGTACCATTCGTAAAAGTCAAGTCTACAACCAGGTTATTTTTCGTTAAGGCGGGTAACAATCGTGGATTATCGTATTTGTAATTCAAGAGACATACGACGTGTAGATTTGGTTGGTGCCTCCACGAACGCTTCAGCAACAAGTTGCATATTATCTTCTGTGACTGTGGCGCATTGAAAACCAACCCCAACTGCAAGAATTTCGTGTGCAGCTTGTACACCATTTATCTCGTGGAAACTGCACAGCAAACTCTTCAAACATCGTGTTTTAATTGGTATTATACATGGGTACCCTGTTGCTGTATCTGTCCCAACTGAGCATGATCGAGTATATCGTAAACAAGATAGAACTCGCGACTACGTATTTTTATTAATTTATTAATATTGGTTAACTGACATTTGCAAAGTTCTGTGCTCACTATTACCAACTTCTTGATAAATTATCTAGGGGTAGTTGCTATGGTTACAGCGGTTTTAAGCGCTCTTATTAGCTAAGAGCTCGATTTATCTATTTGATAAATTGATTTATCAAGAGTTGGTAAAAGTAGGCCTTAGGGCCGATTTATCAATGTCGAGTTAAACCTGTTAGGTACGCAACTTGCCTAAGAGTTAACCTCAATGAAGCATTTATCCAACAACTTTCTACGCGACAGATAGCAAACTGCAAGATAGAAAATAGATGATACCCCTGAGTCTTAATTTTAGAAACGGAAATGAAACGTGATTGGTCAAATTTGAATAATTGACATTATCATTCCCGTGTGCTTTCGGTATTGTGCGTTGTTTTCGAAAATCTCTTTTATAATGGAATTCCTACATGAATATTTATTAGACAGCGATGAAGATGAGGATATTGTCCAACTCTTAAATTATAAACGACGACCATATATTATAAAAGAAAGACAAAATCACTTTGAGGAGTTGGACGACCACGATATTTTTGTTAGATTTCGTTATTATGTCCTGTTTTAGGTTAAAAAAGGACATAATTTTGTCAATCTTGGTTAAAATTGACACCAGATGAGAATTTCAAGTATAAGAAATGTTTGAATTAGGTATCACCACAGTTATAAGCTTTATTTTAGGTTATATTTTGATTTTGTTGTAATTTCCTTTCACCAAGCATCCAAACTTGCGCGCACATATGTTTCCAACAATATCTAATAGATAAACCCTTACCTAGTACTTCAAACTGGTAGATTTGGTCATATTTACCTATAAGATAACCCTAAACTACGGGTGGATAAACGATTCGTCGATGTTAACTATCAGTTAGAATTTTAACTGACAATAAATTGTCTTAACTAGATATTGATAAACCGGCCCTAAGAGAAATAAGAAATAAATTAAGGTTAACTAGGGATAAACAAATAGGAACAAATTTTAATTAAATATATTATGATATCAGTTAACATTAATATTACACATATCATAGAATGAATTTAAAACATTAAAATATGAACTTTTTTTAACTGTAAATTAGAATTAGAATAATTTTTAGTAATAATTATAATTATTTTGCAAACAATTTGATAGTACTTTAACACCACTTTTATAAAATGTGATTAGCGTCACATTTTCACTCACCACTAACATTGGTGCTCTAGCTAATCAGAAAGCAATTAACCTTGATAAACAGTTATAAAACTACTTACTACGCTATTAGTTGTTTTCCTCTGTTGCGAGTATTGTGTAATGTGTTATGCTTTCCCTGAAAAGAAATTCATGTCTGCTGGTTGATGTGGTTTTAAAAACTTCACCTATGTTCTTATCTTTGTTGTTTGTAAATGTACCCAAAAGGTTTATTTTTATTTTTTTTTTTTGTTTGATTAATTTCCAGTACATAGGTATTACTTACCTTGTGAAATATTAGTTTTTGTTTGATTTTAACCATTTGGTTTTTATGATGTATAGATTGTGCCAGATCACCAAAGGATAAAAGAAGTCGTGAATCAGAACATCGAACTAATCATGACAGGAGTGATGATAAGAACATCTTGCATCCCATAAAGTCCTCTTCAAATCTGTCATCCAGAGACAGAAAACCTGTGCACAACAACTGTATTGATAAGGTAATCTATTAAATTATTATTTTTACTTTATACATCTTTATATTCATTATTTTTTGTTTTGATATTGAAGAGGGATGAAAGGGAGAGAGTGACCAGAATTGGAGATTGGTCAGAACACATCAGCTCATCGGGCAAGAAGTATTATTACAACTGTAAAACGGAAGTATCACAGTGGGAGAAACCCCGTGAATGGATTGAACGTGAACGAGATAGATTCAGAACTAGGGACAGAGATAGAGATTCTGATAGATATTCCAGTTCCAGTAGATCAGGTAAGCTGTGGTTATTATTTCTAATTTGTTTTTATTTTTATAAACATCTTCAATCTATTATTTCTAGGACATGATAAACATTCCAATTCACGAGGAAGCAACAGTAGTTCTAGTAAAGATATATCAAGAGATGGAGCAACAGGTAGTCGACATTGGAGCAGTAGTAGAGGTGACGACATCGATCCGCCGCCAAAAGAAACGTCTAGGTCATCCTCTCGAAAGCATTCAGACGATAACGCCCAGGCAACACAGGATATGGATATTTCGCCTGGTGACAGTACACCAACTTCGGAAGTGTCCTATTGCCAAGGATCAGGAGGTTCCCATCAGATACCGGTCGACCAGAATTCTCATGGACCAGTGCTGTTGGCAAACGCACTTCCCCGTCTCATCTCTCACCCAATTCACCTGCCGTCGACACCGACCACTACGCGGCCGGAATCGTCCCCACTGGGGAATCCACAGAGTACCCCCTCTATGATGCCGACGACGTCGTCAAGTGTAACTACAGCAAACACGCCAGGACCTCCAACGGCTATGCAAGAATCCCAAAGTGACCCGAAAATTCAGACTATACACAGTAACATAATTATGAATAGACAAGTGGTTGCGGGTGATAATAGTGTACATACACAGCTTCTTACTGTTGACACTAATCATAGTGGTCCTGTTATTGAAGGTCCTCCGACGCCGACACATTCGGAATCTTCTGATTGTGCAAAGGGTAAGTTTAACATTATTTAACTATTTTGGTTAAGACAATAATATAAAAAATAATAGACAAAATTATAATAGTTGTGATTTGTGATAGAAAGACTCTAGCAAATAGAAATAATAAATTATGAGCAAGTTATACACAATATTTTTTAGGCAACAGGTTGTGAATAGAGTTAATGTGATAGACGTTTAATTTTTGATTTTTTTTTTGACAGTGCAGCATAAAAATTATTTTTCAATTACAGAAATTGGCTTGATTTAAGTCAGTATATCGTCGGTTTAAAATGCAACTGGCTTAAAGCTAAGTTTCCACATTACTGGCGCCAGATTATTTGCATGTAGAAATAGCAAAAAACCACTGGCGCCCATAGATTGATGCATGTAATCATAGCACCAATAAAGTTGACGCTATTTCTACTTTTTGGCGCCAGTAACAGTATTTATAAAGAAAACGTGTAACTATTAACGTGTTCGTCCAACTAAAATGAATAAATCTGCTAATAAACCATCCAACAAATGGACATCAGAACAAACAGTACTATTTCCAGAAACGTACGAATATCCTTCTTTGTGGAATCAGAAAATTCCACAATATAAGGACCAACTAGCACGAAATGAAGCTATCAGAAGGATAGTTGAAATTACGAAGAAAACAGTTCCTAATTTTGACGAAACCTTGGCAAAAGCAAAAATACGAAGTATATGTTGAATTGTAATATGTATACAATTGAATACCATAAAGTACTTCACCATAAAATACTTCACATATAAATTTAGAAATTATGCTTTTTGCCAAATGATACATATATTGCAAGGATGTAGAAGAATCTCCAGAAACCAAAAATCTTAAAGTTGCTTGCAGTTTCATGTGAGCTGGAATAGCATCTCTCATATGTGTATGTTATTTTTGTATTTTAGAGGATACTTGCCTCAGCAAAAACATGAAACTCTCTCCAGTCATTCTTAAATGATTGAAAAAGGCATAATTCTTTAATTAAAGTACTAGACGCACCTAGGTTATTTATTACGTGCAATTTTTTGTTAATAACGTGTGCAGTTCCAAGGAGCACATTTGGACTACCATATTGATGCCAGCGCGAAGCAAGATTTATACAGGGTGTTTCGGTGACGCGGGGAACAAATTTAACCACATATACTAGAGTGAAAATGATGACGATTCATGTAAAAAAAATTAGTAAAAGTCTTCAAATTTCAAACATACAGGCCATAAAAGTTAGGAAATTTTAACACATTTTTCCAAATATGTTAAACACTATTTACAGTAAAACGTTCAAATTTGGTACAGTATAAATCAATGTGATGTAAAATCGTTAGGCAATTTATGAGTTGAATCGGTCCGCGAGAACAATGCTATACCGGCTGTTCCTAAAGTTTGTTTGCTCAGAACTTTTTTATTCTATCATAACCCTACATTTATTTTTGCAGTTTCTAATAGTAAANTATGTTGAATTGTAATATGTATACAATTGAATACCATAAAGTACTTCACCATAAAATACTTCACATATAAATTTAGAAATTATGCTTTTTGCCAAATGATACATATATTGCAAGGATGTAGAAGAATCTCCAGAAACCAAAAATCTTAAAGTTGCTTGCAGTTTCATGTGAGCTGGAATAGCATCTCTCATATGCGTATGTTATTTTTGTATTTTAGAGGATACTTGCCTCAACAAAAACATGAAACTCTCTCCAGTCATTCTTAAATGATTGAAAAAGGCATAATTCTTTAATTAAAGTACTAGACGCACCTAGGTTATTTATTACGTGCAATTTTTTGTTAATAACGTGTGCATTTATACAGGGGGTGTTTCGGTGACGCGGGGAACAAATTTAACCACATATACTATAGTGAAAATGATGACTATTCATGTAAAAAAAATTAGTAAAAGTCTTCAAATTTCAAACATACAGGCCATAAAAGTTAGGAAATTTTAACACATTTTTCCAAACATGTTAAACACTATTTACAGTAAAACGTTCAAATTTGGTACAGTATAAATCAATGTGATGTAAAATCGTTAGGCAATTTATGAGTTGAATCGGTCCTCGGGAACAATGCTATACCGGCTGTTCCTAAAGTTTGTTTGCTCAGAACTTTTTTATTCTATCATAACCCTACATTTATTTTTGCAGTTTCTAATAGAAAATTTAGTTTAGAAACTTCTATTACTCTTAGATATTATTGATAGAAATCACCGTTTTCGTGTTAAATGCAAAAATGTTGGGTTCCGATTTCAATAATAGCACTAAAAAAAAAGAAATCTTAGTTTTTGAACATTTCGTTTTTTTTTTTTTATTACTTGTCTTGTTATTTTATGTACTTTTTTTATTATTGCTGTAAGTGTGGTCGTTTTTTTGTTTACTTTTTGTTGATTTTTAATTTATTGTCTTTGGATTCTTTTATTAAACCAACTAAAACAAATTAAAAATGTGATTTAGCTAAACCTACACTTGGACATGTTGCATACATACTAGTTATGACAGCTCAGTTCGATTTTCACTGGTCATTGCCAATTCAGATTATTTATTTATTTTTTTTTTTTAGNAAAGTTGGATGGACTAATCCGCCCAACTATCCAAGGTGAAGAAATTCCTTTCTCAAAGGAAGTCAAATATCTAGGAGTAATCCTAGACAAAACCCTGTCATGGAATGGACATTTGCAGGGAGTTTTGTACAAAGCTAAACTATCCTTGTGGACTTGTCGCAGTTTTTGTGGAAAAAATTGGGGTCTTACCCCTGAAAGACTGTACTGGCTCTATGTGACTGTGGTTAGACCTATGATCATATACGGAGTAGCAGCCTGGTATAGGAAAGTCAGACAGACTTCAGTTATCAGTAAACTTTCACGAATTCAGCAAGTAGCTGGATTGGCAATCTCTGGTGCGATANAGTTTAGGAAGAGGTTGTTATCAGCGCAATATTTCTGGAACCGGTCCAGATCTGCCTGAAGTTTAATACAGTCGGAGTTAGAAATTTAGAATGTTCAAAACATGCCAGAACATCATTAATGTATGCCAAGAAAAGAATGGGACCGAGGTGGCTACCCTGGGGAACCCCAGAAGTGACCCGTTGATAAGCAGACACAATTGCCAATTCGAATCGCCTGGTAACGGTCACTGACGTAGGAACCCAACCACGCTGAAAGACCCGGAGGAATGTCAAGCAGTGACAACTTTCTTATTAAGATGTTGTGATCGATTTTATCGAAGGCCTTACTAAAATCGGTGTAAATAACGTCCACCTGGCAAGATCGGTCGAAAGCACGATGAATAAAATTGGTATAAGTTATTAAATTGGTCTCGACCGATCTACCAGATAGAAAGCCATGCTGCTCAACGATCATAAAGGGCTTCAGAATATATAATAATTTAGGGTAAATTATTTTTTCAAAAATTTTTGAAGGTAAAGACAAACATGAAATAGGGCGATACTGGGATATGTCGCAACGGTCACCAGACTTGAATACAGGGAATACAAATGCTCTCCGCCATTCACTGGGGAATGCACCGGAGCATAAGGATAAGGAGAATATAAGAAATAGGGGCTTTGCTAAACGAGTAGCACAGTTTTAATAAAACAACCCGGCAGTTTATCCGGACCAGCTCCAGCCTTCGCATCTACTTCATTAAGAGCACGCAAAACTAAATTTTCTAATAGAAAATTTAGTTTAGAAACTTTTATTACTCTTAGATATTATTGATAGAAATCACCGTTTTCGTGTTAAATGCAAAAATGTTGGGTTCCGATTTCAATAATAGCACTAAAAAAAAAGAAATCTTAGTTTTTGAACATTTCCTTTAGTATTTTTTATTACTTGTCTTGTTATTTTATGTACTTTTTTTATTATTGCTGTAAGTGTGGTCGTTTTTTTGTTTACTTTTTGTTCATTTTTAATTTATTGTTTTTGGATTCTTTTATTAAACCAACTAAAACAAATTAAAAATTGATTTAGCTAAACCTACACTTGGACATGTTGCATATATACTAGTTATAAAAGCTCAGTTCGATTTTCACTGGTCATTGCCAATTCAGATTATTTATTTATTTTTTTTTTTTACTGTTATTGAATTCGGAGCCTAACATTTTTGCATTTAATTCGAAAACGGTGGATTTTATGAATATTCTCTAAGAGTGATAAAAGTTTCTAAACTAAATTTACTATTAGAAACTGCAAAAATAAATGTAGGGTTATGATAGAATAAAAAAGTTCTGAGCAAACAAACTTTAGGAACAGCCGGTATAGCATTGTTCCCGCGTACCGATCCAACTCAAAAATTGCCTAATGATTTTACGTGATATTAGTTTACACTGTACCAAATTTCAACGCTTTACCATAAATAGTGTATAAGATATTTGGAAAAATGTGTTAAAATTTTCTAACTTTGATGGCCTGTATCTTGGCAATTTGAGGACTTTTACTTATTTTTTTTTACATGAATCGTCATCGTTTTCACTCCAGTACATGTCGTTACATTTATTCCCCGAGTCACCGAAACACCCTGTATAATGTAGGTGAATAGATTAAAATTTTACACTAAATAGTGAGATGGTGTTTATTTAATTGTGTAAAATCGTTACTCTTATAACAGTGTATTATATGTAATCTAACTAGATGTTGTCGTTACTCTAATTAGATACATTTCTAATCTAATCAGTGTAAAATTAGCACTGTAAATTATTAAAGATTCGTTCTAATTTTACTCTATTAATTGACAAAATATCACTAAATAGTGTGTATCTTTCACTTATTAGTGTGAATTTTTAATAGGACGTATAGAGTATTTTTAGGGAAGTTTTAGGTTTATAATAAAAATCAAAATTATAAAATATTTGTTTTTATTTTTACTTGTAATATATTGTTATAACATAAATTTAAAAAAATTTAATTCTTTTTATGTAACCATACTTAATCCATTTTAAAGTTTCCACCGAGTCACCATGAAAACTGCATCTAATGAGTCTTCTATAAGTTTTGTGTATGTATAGTTGCACATACTTACCAATCTTTGCAAGGTAC